TCCACACTCGCTCCTGCTCACATAGTAACTCCTCCCCCCACAACCCATTGTCTCTCCATACAGTATTTGGCCGAGGGGATGTCATTCTCAGTCCAGCGAGGGACGTATGAGAAGGAGAAAGAGGTAAGAGATTTATAGTAGAGGAATGCATCCGGCGCCGTTACTTTCAGAAGTGGAGATTGCCCTTGTCGAAATTGCTGTTTGTTCTCATCGAGACTGTCAATGAGGCAGGGAGGCTGCTTTAGAGATGTTCTGTTGCTTTTGTGTTTTGTGTCCAGTATTTCTGTGTGTTTTAGCTGTGAAATCTGCCAGTGGAAGGCGCTATGCTGTGTTCTTAGTTAATGTAGACAAAGTATTTTTTAGTAAAAAAAATCAAGACATCTTTCATCTTTAGTTTATTGATGATTTCCTATTTTGCTGGATTCAAATATACAGTTTATATATTTTAAGGAAAGAAAATATGCTTGCTGCCCATTTTGAATGTGAAAAAAACAATGGAATGCATTAAATTTAAAATTCTGGCTACAATCTGAAGCCTTTAAAACATCTGGCAACTGATGATTACCTGAATTGGCTCCCAGCTGAGAGGAGCCATGCATGATGTTTAGGGATTAAAGCTAATCCCGCCTGTGGCTGAGATTCACCTTCTCGTCTGAACAGGGTCTGACACAGGGGCTTTTCTAATTTATGCTGAGACATGCATGAGCAAAAGCTCCCCGAAGCTCAGGGATAGTGGTCTTCTTTGATCCTGCAATAGGCTGATGGCTCCTCTCTTCATAAATAGACAGAGCACTCTGTCAAAGGTCATGAGAATATCCAGCACAAGGAAGGCCAATGAGATATTGATCTAGGTGTGTAAACAGTTATGTTGTTCCTTTTTTCCCCTATAAAGAAAGAATATCTCATGGTGACACTCAGCTATAGGATAATAGAAAATGAATATACAAAGTGTAGCAAAGTTAGGAGAAGCATTAACACACACACATACGGCTTGAAACAGGTGCATTAAAAAAGATGACTATGCAGGGCTCTCTCAGTACTGGACAGTTGCAGCCTAGTACAGGAAGCTTTGTGTGCTTGTTCAGAGAGAGAGAGAGAGAGAGAGAGAGAAAAAAAAGAGGCACTCAATGGAGCTTTTGTTGTTTGAGTTGGAGACAGCAAAAGCACAAGAAACACTGACTGACAAATACCTGGCCTCTCTGAGCCTCAAATACCTCAGCGTTGCACTTGATACAATGTCAACAAATGCCTCCTCTGTCCTCCGCACTAGCCCGTTTCCTCCCAGTCCACGGGATTTTTTCTTGTTTTTATAAAGGCTACTGTTTTCTGAGCAGACATCTGGGTGAGCAGATCTGGCCTGCATAGCATGAGAGCCGGGTCTATACTCAGCTGAGGGGCCAATAAAGGACTGAGGCACCTCTAACATTTAGCAGGACTTGTATTCACACAGATAGAATGAATGCAAGTATACACGATCGTTAGCCTTTTTTTAAGATGAAATAGTCATGTGAGAATGAATGAACTTTAAACACAACTCACGTGGCTTTTTAAAATGGTATTTATCCAAGAGACACAATTCTTTCTGATTAGACAAGTTCCTTCTCTGTTTCTAAAATATTTTTGGTGTGGTAAGCTGTCTGTGCTTCAATTGAATTGCTGGAGTAATGATCTCCTTTGTGCTTGAGGAAGTCGAGCAGGGGCTTTTGCTTCAGAATACAGAAAGAGTTTACGTAATGTGTTTTTGAACTCAGAAACAAAATCCTTTTGATTAACATTGCACCTTTTCCCTGCGGACATTGATAAAAACCCGCATTTTTAATCAAAGATTATTCCACAAGACCCCCAGGAACTAAACAGCTTGGGGGGATGTTGCTGTGCAATTCAGACGTTGGGAAGAGGTCAATTTATGCCAGTTTGCGCCTTGGAAAATAAAATCCTTACCGTCTTACGACTTATATTTATAAGTTCTAGCCCCTTGGGCCTAAAATGAATACTTGCAGTTTCTTTGGTTAATTATTCATGCAGAGGAGAGTTCTAAATCCTGAACACTATCTGTAACCTCCCCTTGTTTTTTCCTTTTTGTTTTGCCCTGAATGCATGGTTTCTTCAAACATATCTGAGTCCAATGCTTTTATGGCCTTCTGCATTAAACCACACATGTGTCTTATGGCTTTCTATTCCTATGTGAGTTTTTCCTAACATGTCATGTAGGGTTTAAAGCCATTGGATACACAGTGGACAATCGGCAGAAGAACTATCTGGAGACTTTCAACATTATTTGATTTGTAAGGTGTCTCTCTTGTGATTATTTTACAACATGAAATAAATACAATCTTTTGCAGATGTCACTAAAGATCAAACTCATTCAGGTGAGATCAGCTGGTCTGACATTTTGCTCAGACCAGACATTTGTCAGAGCAGAAATTTTAATAACCAGAGTAATAACTGAAGATGGAGCCTGGAGCATTTCTACCAAAGAGCCAATAGAAAAAATTAGGATGGAAATCATGAATACAGAGTTGCTTTTCTTTTGATGATTCAGGGATATTTTTGATACCTGCCATTTTTGAGCTGAAAATAAACAATTCAATATGCTTTGCACCACTGCTTCGGGAAATTACACCTGTCTGCTTTTGGCCAGGTTAATTAAAGTTGATATGGTAATGCCTAACTAATTCGGATGATAACGCAATCCTCTGCTGCTGATAAAAGTGTTCAGCATCAAAATTCAATAGATTAACTGCCCTCCTTCCTTTCTTTCTGCCCCACAGCAACGGCTTAAAGAATGTTAAAGCCTTTCTGTCTTATTTACGGCAACATGATTTGATATCAATTTCAAATATTGACTGCAAAGAGAAGATATAGTTCCTTGTGTTATTCTCATCATCTGTATTAAAAAACATTTGTAAATGATCATTTTTAATATAAACAGTTTTCTCTCATTGTTTGAAACTTTTCATGGCTCACTCTACATCTCGTTGGAGTACATTGCAACAGGATTGAAGGATCATTTTGCCTTCGGACCGTAAAAACGTTGAACTTGAATGTATTATCAAGCGGCAGCTCTCCAACTAGCCTGATCCGTATTGGTACCAAATACTGCATAACAGGTTTGACTGGGTGGATCAATGCTAAATCCATTTCAGCCTCTGTCATTTTGAAACTGATAAAAAGAAATCCTCTGCAAACGAATTCCGTTAACTTAATTTATTCTTTACTATAAATGAAAAAACAAAAAAATGTATTTCTCTCAGCACAGTTTGCTGATCCAAACTGGTGCAAGCTCATAGCAGTAAACAACTCAGCAGGTGATCAAATCTGTTCAAGTGAAACTCAGATTTCACAGCAAAGTGATGTAAACACCTGCTGTCTAGTTATTTCTTGTTTGCATTCACAGGGCAGCATGATAGTGATTGTATGAACTGCCGTGTAATCTGTGTGGATTAAAGAAGGACAAAAAAAACATCTATTTGGGTGCTTTAACTGTTATGATTTGCCATTCAGGCTTGCTTTATTAAGATGCCACATGCTCAATTTGACCCAAATATGAGAGCTAAATATATAAGACATTCCTTTGTGACCATAAATACTTAATAAATCCACATCACATTTAAGTATTAGATTAATGCACAACCTAAAAATGACTCAAACAAATTCATTCATTTTAAATGTGGAATGTTTGTTTTTTGGAGCCTATAGTGGGAACTCTGGATACAGACTGGGCATAGCATAAAATCATAATCAGTAGCTGCAAAGCTGAGCAACACATTCATAAGCAGCCACCTCATACTCATAGTTAAGCTTAAAGGTAATACTTGATTTTAGTCTAATGTTACTTTGTGCTTCTAAAAGAGGGGGCTTGCCTGCATCTGTGCTTATAGTCGTACTGTTAAAAGAGGTTTACACAAAAAAAAGTATTTATCATTATAGGCATTTTTAATATCATACGACTTTTGGCTACACACAGCATTATTCACTAAATAGATTAACTATAGCTGAGTCAAAGTTAAGGATGCCATGGAAGTTCTGAGAAGGTTGGATTTACACCGCAGGCACAATGACCTCTCTATAAAAGTAAGTCAGTAATTTCTGAACTGCTGCATTCTAAAGCAGCCTTCAGGGACTCAGTAAGAAATAATAAATAAAAAAAACGTAATTGACAACAGATTGCTGATGTTCTCAGTATTCCTTTCCACTGTTGCCTGTGTATTTCATGTATGTGTTCAGAGGTTTTCAGAAACACCTGACACCCTTTGCTTTCCAGACACTCCTGAATGTGTTTTGTGTTTTTCTTCTTCTCATTCATCTATTTTCAGGACAGCGAGAAACCACTTACCACCTCAACGCATTTAGGTGGCCACGTCACCACAGGAAAAATGCAGCAGCGTGTACCAGAAATGTCACCAGGCCGATGGGGACCCAGACCTGGGTCACACCTGGAGGCTGAAGGTAAACAGTTATTTAAATGACTATGGTATGACATGAGGGACTCATACAGCTAATACGGCATAAATTGAAATAAAACTATATACAAATTACATATTCCCATGTGAAGGGTCTCTGAGGTCAGGGAATATCAACACCCATCCTGCTTCTATCAGACCTATGTACAAAATGTTTATTCACAATAGGGGGGATGAAACTTTGAATGTCTGGAAGTGAAATCCCAATTCACAAGAACAGGAAAACTGAAGTCATTTGATTCGAGATATCTGAAATCCTTATTTTACCCAGGAAGAATGTCTTAACTTTGGCTTAACTTTTTTCTTTCTTTTTTTTTTGTACTGTCAGATTTGAGCTTAAACATTATTTTAGACTACACAAACATACAATTTGACCCCTCAAGAAATGGAGAAAAAAAGTCCAACATCTTTCACATAAATCGCAAAAAAAAATCAACATTGCCCAGAAACAACGCTTGTAGAAGTTACATGCTGAACAGTGACGTGTAAAATTGCTCTTCTTGCTGTCAATCAAGTCCTCGGGCGCAGCTGTTCTAAATGCAGCCTGCATGCTCCGGGACTCAGATCAGGCTCTGGGTTCTCTCCGAACAGCTCTGCCTGGCAAGTCCCGTCCCGCGGACCTCCAACAGCACCCCCGGCTCTGCCTCTCTGCGGCCCTGTGCCATGCCATTTGTGGACGACCCTGCGCATCTCTCCAAAACCCGCCTAAAGTCAGATTTAATCGCCCACAATGTCGAGCTGCCACCTGCGGCCAGCAAGAAGGAGGCTTACGTGGAGCTGCACCTGAGGCACATCGATCAGACCAACGCGGCGGAGTTTTCCAGCGATGACGAGGAGCCGGTTCAAGAAGTGGCCGTGAGTTCATTTAACACGGGTGTTAAGAGTAAAAGAAGCTGTTTTTTTTTTAATGGTAGCATCGTATCCCTTACCCATTTCCCCCCCCCCTGATGGGCATAAAACCTATAAGTATAGGACACAGCCATTACGCGTAATGGGCTTCTTTGACGCGATCTGACCGTGCGTTGTGCGGGGAGGAGATCTGGGTCACTACTCCCAAACAAGCCTCCCTCTGTAGCACGCTGGAGGTCCACCGGCTGTATAGCGGGTATAGGTTTACACACAGACGTTTTTTGCTCCTAGCGCCTGTCCTCACACACATGTGAGCACCTGTCGCTCTCAGTTATTTGCGCCAGCAACATGAGCCGCGCTCACGAGGAGCAGGGCCGGTTCCCACAGAGGGGCTCCATGCTGCTGGGCTGGCTGTTTACTAAATGAACATATTCATACTGATGTATTTGTCTTCCCCTTCAGAATTCAAAGGAAATTAGTACTTTTGCCCCTGATTTGAGTGATTTGGTAATGTCTCAGCTTTTTCTGTCCCAGCTTTCCTGACTTGCTCTTTGAAAGTCACCCCTCCACTGAGGCCAGTTTTGATTAGGCCTCAGCAATCAGTCCCACCTCTCTATTCATTTATTTTAATGATATAACTCTGAGACCATTCATCTCCAGTAGTGCGCGTTGCAGGCCTGCCACTTCTTTTTTTCCTTTTTTTTTTTTCTAAATGTCTGGGTGTCCTCAAATTAAAGGAACTGCACAGCATGCTGAAATACCCAAAGCTTTTGGCTAATAGCTCTATAAGCTCACCCTGTTGGTTAAAAAAATGGAATTTTTATGCCTGCCAAACCTTGTTGGCTCTGATCTTTACCCCGAACATTGCTAAAGGGGTAGAGGGAAATGTATCCTCGCCACAGCCCGAAGGAAACAAAGCACCCAAAGATAAATGTTTTAACTGGCTCTTTGCTGAGTTGCCTGCAATGTATAGACACAACACTGGTTTATCCTTCAAACATCCGCAGAAAATCAGGCACAGGACGGAAAATGAGGGGGAAAGCAGCCCAAAGGAAAACTTTTGATCCTGAACAATTTCATAGATTAAAAGAGTCTTTTTTCTACCAAGAAATCAGAATGGTTCACGACTTCTCGTGGTGTCCTAGTCAACTTTTTTCTTGGGTTATTGTACCTATGATTGCATATAACTTTGCATCACAATATTGATGGGAGGTTACTGGTATGTTTTGTTAAAGCTATTATTTCTTTATTTCTTTTTGTCAGGAGAAGGAAGAGGTTCCAGAAGTTGCAGAGATGCCCGACCCCAGCACTTTGACTGACGATGACCTCAAAGCCACATTACTGAAACACGGGGTTAAAGCTGGACCTATAGTTGGTAAGACTTTGACCTGGTACAATTTCTTATCTAAAAACATAATATCGACCTCTACATTTTTTAAGACCAACTTCCTCTGAAGAACAAAACTGTAATACTATAAACCCCTTAATGCCAGCGTCCACCAGGATGTTGTATGAGAGGAAGCTCAAAAGCCTGGTCCAGAGCGGTGGACATGGCGGAGTAAACGGGGCAGAGAAAGCCGCACTGTACTCAGACAGTGAAGAAGAGGAGGATGAGGGAAACGGGGACGAGGAGGACAAAGAATCGGGTACGGGTGTGTTCTGTTTAATCGGGATATTTAAGGCCGGTTTCAAATCGCGCTGACCTATTTCTTTTGGCCTGCTCAGGATTGGAACACATGCAGCAAGAAGCGGTTGAGGAGCAGACCCAGCAACAGAGCGGCGAGGTGAGAAATGGCTTCCACTGTCCTCAAACATTATCTTTGAATAGTCTGAACTGGAGCTCCCATTGCCCCATTAGACTCTTCTGGTCAGTTAGTCCTCACCACAGTGCCGTAGTGCCGCCTAACGGTCACAGCTCGCGTCGGCCTCTTCAAACGAGCACACGCATCTCGTGAGTTATCTTTTTTTTTTTTTTTCCACAGGCAAAGATGTATTTTCAGAGGGGGGAAGTTTCTTACCCGCAGTGCTTTTCACTGTCAACGAGGCTGGTAAATACTACAGGTTTTCACATCCTCCTCACAGCGGGGTGTCACGCCGGAGCCTCGGGTGGTTGGCTGACTTTCTCTTTGGCCTTTTTGTAGCGGGCTTGTTCTGTGAGAAACAAGGCGTGTAGCTCCACGTGGAATTCAAGAAATGCGTCCCAGTCATCGAAAACGACTCAATCTCGCTGCTCGCAGATTCCTGTAGGAATTAGTAGAGCGTCCTCTATAGGTCAACACTCAGGATTATCGTCACGGGTAGGCTGGTTTTATCTGACTCTTGTGGATTTAAAATTCTCGGCATTCCTTGCCCGGAGTGCCTTTTTAAACTTTGGAGTACCTCTCGGCCACCAGTGTGATGGTTTCCCATCCACACTGACAGGTGCGCAGACTGAGTAACCTTATCCTGTTGATCTTGTTCATGTCACGCCTTACAGGTCCCCCCTCAGTCAGTTGTGTCCAACGGTTGCTCATCTACCCCCCCACAGCCCTTCAGCATCACTCAAATGGTGGAGGAGGAAAGTTGACCTTAGATCCTTTTAAACCCACATTTCGAATGGAATCGTATTTTTTTTATTTTATTTTTTTCAACGTACGTTCTCACTGTAAACAGATGGAGAGCCAGAGCTCGCTCTCCCCCAGCGCCGACAAAGAGTTGAACAGGAGCAATATGCTGGAGCATTGGTCATGGTCCAACAGGGTCAGTAGTGCTCGGGGCTGTTCAGTCACACTTTAAACTGTGGTGCTGGTTGAAGTGTTGGAGAGGCTCACTTGAGGTGGAGGAAAATTCAGACTTTGGAGAGCCAGTCAGTTATATTGTTGCGTCTCTTTTTCCCAGCCGGCCGAGCAGATTGCGGACAAGTACAGAATCACGGAGCAGTCGCTGTACTACACACCCAAGGATTCCCCTCGGGGACAGGGAACGAAGGCATAGTCACCTTCTTTTGAAATGATTGCATTCGATACAGTTCGACAGGGCACTCGGCAGTGTTCCTGTATTCATTCTATTTAAGGGAACAGAAGCATGGAGCACAGGCTACTCGAACTTGTTTTGGTCAGAATGGTGAAGAGAGACCTATTTCTTCATAAATTAAAGTATTTAAATCAGTATGTATCTGTCCCCTTGAACAAAAACATTTTATTACTAGAGGAAATAGTTTAGTTTTTTAAAAATTATTTGCTTACCCAAGTGCTTGTCTAATAGTTTTAGGAACTATTCTAGAGTTTTTTTCTTTTGTTTTGCATACCTGCCACTGATTACAGCTATACCATAGCGGCCTTGTGTTACATCCTTTAGCTGACTTAATTTACATGAATTATAAGCCCCACTGCCTAAATAAACACTATTCTGGCTTTGTTTCTGGGCTTTTCTATCTTTCAAAATCTGCAGTTTCTATTTATGTTGAGAATAATCTTTTCCTTCATCTTTAGCTTTCTGAGGAACCAGAAACGGATATTTTAAAGGATCTGATCCCTGAAATCGCCACCACACCCACAGGAATCTTGTAAGTGTCATACTGAGACTGTTAAAAACGCACAAATGTCAAGCTCCACACAGCACTTTTTTGAAATAGTTAAATGTATGGACAGTTTGCTCAGTCTTACAAAACCAGCTTTTGGAAGTAGCAAACGATCTCCCCTTTATTCTGTTGGACTTTAGCGCCACATCTCGGCGGCCCATCAAAGGAGCAGCGCAGAGACCCGTCCAGTATGCGTACCCGGACACCCCCGTCAGCCCCGTCACCCTGGAGAGGCGGGAGGTGCAGCGGCGTCTGGTTCCCATCCACGTTCAGATTTTGGTCTTCCTGACTCTAGCATTCATCCTGTACTTCATATACGTCCATGTTGAGGACAGCAGCTCCGTTTTGTCTTTGCTGGACAGTTTTAGTCATTGGTCAGACACAGAGGAAGGGGCTCTGCTTCAGGCCGAGCTGCAGGAGACATAAGCGGCGTGTGAGCAGGATTAAAGTCCACGCTGACTTAGGTTTGTGAGCTTTGCTTGACTGATCAAACAAGAGAAGATTTCGTCCTAGGAAATGGTCAGGGAACACATTACTTGAGCTGTCCTCAAAGCCTTATTTTACTTGTCCTTGTGCGTTTGTTTACACATGTCACTGTGAAAGCAATTCATCACAAAAATGGGGGAGATGTGCTCAAAATGAAAACATTTCCTGTTCTTAGATGATGTGATTCTTTTGAATTTGTATCTCTACACTTGTTTTTTAAATACAGTTTCAATAAAGGATATTTTGCCTCCTATTTTTGCCAATTATTTCGATTAGAGGAATCTTGCTTAAAAAGGTCTGAGGTCATAAAACAGCATTTTTCATGCTGTGACATTACACACAGATAACGGGTGGCGAGATCAATGAAAGGAAATGTATCCAGTGTAGGACCTTTGTCTGACCAGTAGGGGGCTCCGGTTCAACAGGCACTTCAGCCGAAGGGGTTCACAGCAGGCAGGCTACAATGTCGGTTACAAAGTTGAAGATACTTAAATTAGCAAAGGTTTTTACTTGCAGCGTGCTCATCACAGTATTGGTGTTGTTCGTAACGGCCTGCATCAGAACCCTGTCGCTGGATGTGAATGCGGGACTCCAGCTCGCACGCTGGGAAAAGACGAATAACATCTCGCTGGTCATCACCCAACGTCAGAGAGAGGAGCTGTTTGCAAATTTTAAAGGTGATTCGGTTGTTTAATTTCCCTTGACGGTTCATGAGAGCCGTATTGGGTACCAAGGGCCGAGCTGCGGCTTAAAAGAAATGGCGATGTTAATACGGTAACACTCGGCGTGTTTGTCCCCCATTCATCCAGAGGCTGTCAGAATCCCCACGGTGTCATTCTCCGACACGGAGAGCAACACCACCGCGCTGGGTGAATTTGACAGGCTGCTCCGTAGAGGTAAGCACATGCGTCATGGTGGCTGAGGAAAAGTGAATTATGTCTAAGTTTTGCTTTTGCTCACAAAAGTAGTCACCACGACGCTATTTGACAGTGGTTGTGGACTTGTACTGCTTCCTGGTCACTTGAAGCTAAGTAGGCGTACCCCGCGAGCCGACCTACGTGCTAACCTTGTTTACAGTGAGTTAGCTAAGCCTTAGCAAACAGTATCCACCATGGTAACCATCAGCATACTCGCGCTTTAAGCATAGCAGTAAAGCGTTTTACGTGACGTGAAGAGTTGTTGAAGTGCACCCCCTTTCACCCTCCTTTATTTAATGGAATAAAATAATTAAAGATTCAATTTATTTTGCTCGATTACAAAATACAGCTATTAGTATCTTTTTTCCAACCAGCCAATAAGTTTCTCAGATTTTTAAAAATCTATTCGCAAGATTTACGACAATAACGTGCAATAAATAAAGCACCACTTTAAATTACAATCGAAATGTGATAAACACATGGGTTTTGGTTTAAATTTGAGGTATTTCATAAAGAAATACTGCCAACTTAAGAAATTATTGCCAATTTTGCACTCTGTTTAATCCACTCTCATCCAAACTATTTGGATAAATAAGATAAATGAATAAGAAACAAATGAGCAAGTAATAAACTGGTATTTTCATGGCAACAGTTCTTCAGTTTTCTAGGATTTCATGACAAGTTCTAAGGATGGACGCTTGAGACCATGAGAAGAAAAATCTATTCACCATCCTAAAAGATCAAGATTCTGTAGAGAAAGTAGAATGAAAATTCTCAAATTCTTCATATTGAGCTGGTCTGTTGCTCCCGTCCCTTCAAATGTTGCAGAAGTGTGTGTGTGTGGGAGTATTTAGTTTTGAAATAGGTGGATTATTAATTCATTTCGGGTTTCTTTTTTTTTTGTCAGGCAACAAATGATCACAAACCAGCTGTTAACACATAGTGTTGTTCTTGTGCTTCTCGCCGATTGTGCTTGAAAACAACAGGAATTTCTTGCCAGATTTTGTGTTCCGATAACCGAAGAATGCTTGTCCTTAACTCCACAAAAGGTAGCTGAAAGATTCCCCCCATTAAGAGTGTCTTCGTCTTTGTCAGCCTTTCCTACAGTTTTCTCTTCAAGCTTGGTTCATCATGAGCTGGTGGCTAATTACAGCCACCTGTTCCGGGTGCAAGGATCACAGCCTAACTTGGTGCCATACTTGCTACTGGCCCACATTGATGTAGTACCTGCCACAGAGTCAGACGGCTGGGAGGCCCCACCATTTTCTGCCAAAGAGATCGATGGCTTCATCTATGGTAGAGGGACCATAGACGACAAAGGCCCACTAATGGTATGAAAACAAGCAATCTGTTTATCAAGAAATATGTTTATATAGGGATCTGCTAACCGTCAAATAGTCAAGTTTTTTTATAACCAAGTTCACGCATAAACCAGAATAAGGTCCTTCTTTTTCTCTTTAGGGAATACTTCAAGCACTGGAGTACTTGCTGATTAAAGACTACGCTCCCCGCAGGGGATTTTACATCGGCCTGGGTCACGATGAAGAAGTATGTTGAACATCACAAGGTCACTTGATCAGATAACTTTTCAGATCTGAGGTTTGAATGTCTGAGTTTGGCTATGCTTTTAAATTAAAGATCAGAGGCTACAACGGGGCGGTGAACATTGTGCGCCTGCTGAAGCAGCGTGGCGTTAAGCTGTCTTTCGTGCTGGATGAGGGCCTGGCCGTACTGGACGGAGTCATCAGTGGTCTTGAAGGACCTGCCGCTTTGTGAGAAATCGCCATAATCACAAGTAACAACTGGGCCTGATATCGTTTGCTGCTTTTGTTCACTTCGAGTAAACACTATGGCCAAGGTTGATAGAGGTAAAGAGTTAGAATGCACGTCTCAACCTGCATTTCAGTGGTGTGGTCGTCTTTTCCAGAATCGGGCTGAGTGAAAAAGGCTCAGCCACTGTGAAGCTTAGTGTGTCTATGGCCCCGGGTCACTCCTCCATGCCTCCCAGGGAGTCCACCATTGGGATATTGGCAGCAGCAGTTAAAAGGTTAGAGGTACATTTTGTTAAACAGCTTTTCTTCAGCGAATTTAATTTCCCTTTCGATTATTGCTGTGATCTCATTCAAAGATTATATAAAAAAAACAAAAAATGTTTTTTTCATACTCTTTCCTCAGGCTAGAGGAGAACCCCATGCCGAGGTTATTTGGTTACGGGCCTGAACGCGACACCTTTGAACATCTGGCCCACAAGGTAGGGGGAACATAGCATGGGATCATCAGCGTTTTTCATCATTCTAAACCCTTGCACAACTGCTCATTGTTCCTACCTCAGTTCAGGCTCCCAGTGAAGTTCGTAATGTCAAATTTATGGCTGTTTTCCCCAGTTCTCAGCAGGTAACCACATCCTAAGATCTTCTCTGCATGGTTTCCTCTAATGAACTTCAGATAGATCAATCAGCATGTTCTTTTTTCCTTTTTCCTTCTATGCTGCAGAGTACTTGAAAGAAAGCCAGACACCAATGCTTTTGTGAGGACTACCACAGCAGTCACCATGTTTAATGCAGGAGTAAAGGTGCAGTTATAAATCTGAAATGGCAGGTCATTTGGATTCTAATATTTTTTTTCTTTTCTTTAAAAAAAAACAAAACTCATTATTATCTGCCCTCTTAAAGGTGAACATCATTCCTTCCCATGCTGAAGCTTATGTAAATCTACGGATCCACTCTGCACAGTTAGTACAAGAGGTATAGTCAGATAATCAATTCACAGCTTCTTTTTTTAAAGCTATTTTAAGAAAAAACAGGGTTTCATTATGAACACTTACGTTTCACAAAAATGTATGCCGACTCATCCAGGTCATGGACATCATACAGGATACAGTCGGGGACCAGCGAGTGAAAATAGAACTCATAGATGGATTTGACCCTCTGCCTGTCAGCTCTTCTGATGAGAAGTCCTTTGGCTATCAGATCATCAAGAAAACTGTGTTGGACATGTTTCCAACCGTTACAGTTGCACCAGGTAAAATTCATAGCATTTTTTACTGTACAAACCTGGTTTATTTAGGTCCAATCCCCCCCCCCAAAGCTTTTTTGTGATGTTTAAATGTGCAGGTATCTGTATCGGGAACACAGACAGTCGGCACTTCAAAGACTTGACCAATGACATTTATCGCTTTGCTCCCATCTGGTTTAAACCAGGTGATGCTCAGAGGTAAGATTTTAAGCTATTAAACACTGAATGAAATGGTTAAAAGACAAAATAACTGGCTGCACTTACTCAAATGAACTGGTTTGGCAGAGTATTAGCTGTCCACAACTATAAAGAATCAATCAACAAAAAAATAACAACTTGTTGCTGTTAATGTTAATATAGGTGTGTTGAAAATATTTGTTGAAAGTTAGAAATATCAACCTAAAAAATGTTTGAAATTTGGGAATGTGAAAATTAAGAGGAAAACAAAGAGCATTTAAAATTCTTTGTCTCTTTTAGGTTTCATGGCATTAATGAAAGAATTTCCAAAAAGAACTACGAGGATATTGTTGTATTTTACTCCAATCTCTTTCAAAACTGCGATGTCCAGAAGCTCCCTGAGCCACACACCTCTGTCCATGAGCTCTGACCAGCTTAGCTCGTTGTGAGGTGCTCTGAAATGACATTTTTCAGATTGGATGATCTGATGTATGACTACAACTTACTTTGATTTTGTTGCCATTAATTTCAAAGCGCATTGTTGTTTGATTGATTTATTTCAACCCCTGAAGCTGGGATCTTGGATTGAATATGTTTCTGAAATCTTCAATCTTCTTCCAAAAGATTACATTCCTCACTGACTTTAGCTAGAGATGAGTGATTCTGTTATCACAAATGTGTAAAAGCTTGAACAATTTTTTTTGTGGTACCTCGATTAATCCAAAATATTTGGTTTTGGTACAGTTTGATTCATTCATTTGACTGAATGACTTCTTGTGAGCTGCTGTAATACTTTACTGACCATCCAGTAACTTTGGTTTGCACATTTTGACATGATAAAAAGATGCTGCTTCTATGAAGATCCTACACATGTGTTATTTCTTATTGCTGAATAAAGTACAATATTGATCTTTTGACTACAGTTAAATGTCACTGACCATTAGCTTCTGCCCTATTGTTATTATTTTGTGAGGTTGAAACCGATTTAAAAAGGAAAAAAGCAAGTTGTTGGAAGCATTTGATATTAAAGAAGAAATAGTTTTTTTAATTTCTTATAGCATGGTTTATGCAGTGAGGATGTTTAGGGATAATCACAACATTTGCAGCTGACTCGAAACACCAAACTTTCCGGGCAGTTTTGGATCCAGGTAATGCCGTTGGCACAGCTGTAAAATGAACCTGGTTGATCAGGTTTGGGATAAAGCCCGCCAGCCTTCGTGGCACAGAAGTTTTCATCAGAGATTTTGGTCACAGTAACGACTGTTGGTTTGGGATTAGGCTTGGTGAGCCGTGCAGGGATTTCTGTTGCGGGAAGGGGAGGGAGATCTGGGAAAAGAGGTACCATGTCAGAATATTGCTAACATAAAATCATAATGTCATTTAGTACAGATGAGATAAATAAGGCTTAAAGGGTACAAAACTAACATACTATACAGTATGTATGTTTTTATTACCTGAAGCTAGCTGAGAGCGGAGGTAGCTGATGAGAGCATAGCTCCCCTGTCCACAAAATTGCCCACTGAAGTCATCTAGGTCCAGAGCCCAGATGAAAGCTCCTCCAAAACTATTGTCTTTAAGATAACGGACCTGAGTAAAGAATCATCGAATACCTTCAGCAGTGTTGCTGTACACATCTAAACACCTTTTATATCAGGAAAGATTATTCAAAAGATCCACATGTGACTACCTTAGTATTAAAACTTTCTTTGTTGTCATATCCAACCCACTCATTTTGTTTAGTGGCATATGGAACTTTCTGATCCTGGATCAGCTGCACAGTAGCGCCTTCAAGAAACGTGCAGATCTAGAAATATATATATTTTTTGTTTCAAATGATTTGGTTAAGTAACTGGTAGTTTTGCTGTAAAGAATGCACATGATAATATAACTACTAAAACAAGTTAGCATTTTCACCTCATAGTAGGACCAGAAGCCGGCCTCCTGTGTGAAAGGACCAGGCGTGGCGGCGCCGCTGAACGGTGCTCCAACTTGACTAGATTGAGTAGAGAGTCTAAATGCTCGTCCGTATGTAGCAAAGCCCATATTGAGCTTTTCAGCAGGTGTTCCATTATCCCTCCAGTACCTCATAGCAAAGTCCTGCAATGTGAAAAAGAAGGCTGGAATGAAGGAATAACTTATTTTTTCACTCAAATGTTTGGTTTAGCGGGCTATTAATATGTTTCAGTTTCACAATTACACATTCCATCCACATCCATACATCTGTTATCTACACGCTTATTCCCCTTTATTGCGTTTTTTCTTTTATACCAGTCTCAAATATTAGTATTTCCATTAATGTTTTTCTCTCTCCCAAATCGTAAAAGATATTACAGCTGAGTAGATATACTTCTACTAAGAAAGTCAACCCAAAGAAACTTGCAATCATTTCATTCTAATAAAATATTAGTTCTGAAAACATAGACTCCTGCACTCACAGTATTCAAGTACACATTATCTCCAGAGTCATGGGACCCTTTGAACAAGGGGCTGTGATGTCCTGTTACACTCTCCCAGGTGCCGTGAAAGTCATACGTCATCACATTGATAAAATCCAGATACCTGATAGAGAACATGTGAGACCAGGGTCACAAAAATGGCTAATAGGCGATGGATAGACTATGCTGGAAACACTGTCAGCGTACTTGGCTAGTTCTGCAATTTCATAACCAGCTTCAATGGTTCCTTTCCCAGCAGACACAGCAGCAGAGATCATTAACCTCGGCCGCCCAGTCGCTTTTCCCTCTGCCTCATAAGCCTCAAGAAGCTCCTATAAACACACACAGAAGAATCACTTCAAGGCTCATAATAAACATCAGTTGAGCATCAGACCGGTAATACTGGATGTGACCTTGCATAACACTGTGAGTCTCTGCTTGTCCTCCAGAGGGCTTCCTCTTGCAGCGGGGTATTCCCAGTCCAAGTCTAGCCCATCAAAGCCATGTTCCCTCAGTAGTTTGATTGAAGACTGGATGAATGTGTTTCTATTGGCTTTTGTTGACACCATTGTAGTGAATCTGGAGAAACAGTTTTAAGAAAAGAAAGCCGCTAATTAGACGGCACACAGTCCAGTCCGTAGCACTGAGTAATCTTTACAGGTTTTTTCTCGGAATTTTCTCGGTAAATGTCACACTTTTGTGTTCCAAAGTTCCAGCCTCCAACTGCAAGCAGTGTTTTGAGAGATGGATTCCTGTGGGAATATGCAAATCCAGTTGAAAACAGAGCTAATTTTTTTCACCAGCAAAAACACTTTGAAAGAAATGGATTGACCTTTGTTTGAGACCATTAAAGGATTTATAGAGATCCACATCATTCCATTCTATAGTGACCAACTCATTTGCCTGGTTAATACCCGCAAAGGCATAAATCAGGTGGGTGCAGAGGTTTGGATCAATGTTTGATGGCATAAACTTCCCTCCGCCTTGTCTGTACTGGGACCAGTTAGTGTGATAACACACCAATCTCAATGATGACACTAAAAATTAAAGAAAAGTCGTTTTTTTAAGACTATATATATATACTACAGTATACATCTAATATAATTTTGTGAACTCACCTAGACAGCTGAAGGACAGACAGAGGCCTGTAAAATTCCAGATTTAGATGTCGTTAGATAGTGTTTTGAATAAAGTGCTATCCTTTTTTCACTGCATCTTACCTGCTCTCAGAATTATGTTACGCATGGTGCTTGCATATGAGCACAGCCTTGCAAAGTAAAAAATCCAGTCCGGAGTAAGTCTGGTTGATGAAAAAAAAAAACACCAGCCTCGATAATCATTAATCAAAGTCAAAGGCTGGGATGTTCCTCTTTTGCATCACCCATGTAAATCAAATAATGATAACAAAAGACCTTTGATCCCAAACAGAAAATTTGAAAACCTAACCCATTCGGATTTTTAACAAATGTAGCAGAAATTGCAACTGACATATTTCAGTAGAATTAAAGAGCCGATATTAAGTTATTAATGATTTCAGAATTTTGCTTTGGAAATTCTTCTGAGAATATGTTTAAATGCTGTAACTTAGAGATTCTCTTCATGTACACTTCTAAAGTACCCATTCTTTACTTTCTCTATTTAACTTCCCAGTTTTAGCTCGTGATCCTTTTTTGATGGCATGCATAATTTTGTTCAGGACAAAACTCAAGCTTGAAATCACAAAGATGTATATACCTAAAGAATACTGAAGACTTACAGGGGAAGTTGTTCAGGAGTATTGTTTTTGATGTAGATGTTAGGCTTCATAGTTCAGCATGCCCCAGAATGAATGTGAATGTAAAGTGATTTAAAGTGGAAACAAGCTATGAATTAGAGTGTACCCTGCAACTCTCTTGAAGCACCTTATTAACTTAATAGTTCATAATAGTTGTCTCAATTTGAAATTTAAAACATTTTTTCCATTCAGATAAAATTGTCATCTAGATAAAAAAAAGCACAGCAGTGTTTTGAGAGTGCAAACAAATGATGGGATTGTGGAAGGATAAAAGCAAAGTTATTGAGTGATGGTTATAGAGAAAAAGAGAATGGGTGAAAGGTTATTTATTTGTCTCCATAGATTTAATCATTTGATAAGTAACCAAACCCACTCAGCTTTCAAGCACAATAACTCAGAGTGCTAAAAAAGCACACAAACAAAGAACTCTGATGGAAAACTATTCACCAGGGAGTAACTTAAGGTAGAGAAAAACAGAGGAAATGCGTCACTCTTAAAACAAAAAACTTCACCTTAAGTACGGTTTTTGTAAAAAGCAGAGCTGAGACACTTTAGTTTTCTTTACACTTTGGCTAAAAATTGTCTCTCTTTTAGGTCATACATATTGTAAAAGACTTATACAACAAAGTCCTAAAGTCATTCACCTATAGTCATTCATTGACTAAGGTAGGTACACATTTCACATAATGTTTGTTGCAACCCATATTTCGTAGAGGGTTTCAGGAGAAACAGGCTAAGTACTTCCTTTTTTAGCTTTCAGAAAGCTCCATGGACAAAATGAGCAACAAACAAACACTGCTTGATATATGTGGCTTTTATTTAAGGCCAGTCACAGCATTTGCATCTGTCATTGAAAACAAGATTAGGCTGACATCTCTGAAGGTACGAGATTCCGGCCACACACTGATAGAAGGAGTTCTGATCCTTGTCGTTTCTGTACAAGCCATCAGGCTTCCCAGCGCAGAAGTCCCCTCCAGAGGCAGCAGTTGTGGTGATTTTGGAGGTTGTGGTAGCAGCAGCAGCAGGCGTGGTGGTGGTACTGGGGCGGGGGGTGGTTGTGTTGGCAGCTGGTGGCTGTGTGGCTGCGGGAGTGGCTGGCGTATAATCTGGCCAACGCATTTGGCAGAATGACATTGAAGAGGTTGTAAGGGGAAGATTTGACATTTGTGGATACTGCGTCACGAGTGAGTGTTAATGTCTACCTGAATCCAAAAGAGAGCGGAGGTGGCTAATTAAGGGATAGTTTCCCTGACCACAGAACTCTCCGGAAAAGTCATCCAGATCCAGAGACCAGACGAATGCTCCTCCAAATTTTTGATCTTTCACATACTGTGCCTGTGAAATATCATTGTTCGAGGTTTATATGGAGAAATACATTCCAAGACTTAGCTTTTATTTTATACAGCTGATTTGGCATCCTTTGTCATTCTGAAAACCAATGGTTCCCTGTGAATTTGAAGCTGTAAACTGCCCAGTGTTAAGTTTGGATTTATTTTTAGAAAAAGAAAGAAAAAATCTGATCAGAAATGCCTCTCATTCTCGCCTCTGCTCTTAGAAATGGTTGTTCCCATCCCAGTTTGTCATTGCTATTTGGTCTTGGTCTGATTTGTGTGCCAGTGGTTTAAATGTCCTCTCATATGTTTTACAAAATGTAATCGGTTCAACTAGAATTATGACATATCTGAAATAAACTGGAGGAATCATAAAACTTGTTATCTTTCAAGAGGTGAGGCAATATCTGTGGAGGCATAGCTTGTATAGCGAGAGTGCCATCTACTGCTCAGTCTACATTATTAAAACCTGATCGTGCTGCTTCGTCATTATTGCCTGCACTCAGTGTCTGAGGTAATTTAGCTGGGAAACTTACATATTTAGGAGTTAATGACAGCTATATGCAACTGTTATCTTATTCTTATCTCTTCAGACATATACTGAAAGGACACTGTGTTTTACCTTGATTTCAAAGCTCTTCCTGTTGTCAAAGCCCACCCACTCGTTGCCTTTGACGGCATAAGGCACCATCTGTTCCTCAATCCAGCGTTCACTGCCTCCGTTGAGGAACGAACAAACCTACAAAAGCAGATGAGAAGGATGCTCTAAAAATCCTCAAATTCCTCATGATATATTTTTCTGAAATGCCAGTTTATGATTGTCCATGGCAGTCCAGTCTATGAATGTGATGAATTGCGCTACGCTGTGTTGACTGACCTCATAGTAGGACAAAATGCCAGCTTCCCCAGTGTAGGGTCCAGCAGAGGCTGGTCCTCCAGCGGGCGCTGCAACACCGTTGTTTGCTGATGTTAAACGGAATGCGCGGCCGTATGCGGGGAATCCAACCAGTAACTTTTCAAGAGGAGTGCCCTTGTCTCGCCAATATCTCATGGCAAAATCCTACAGCACAAAAAAAAAGAAATGGTGAGAAAAGAGGACCTGTTCCTTTTGTGGCTTGCCGAATAGCTCTCGGGGAGGATTTCACCTACCACGCTGTAGTACATGTAGCTGCCCACATCCAGAGAGCTGTCGTACAGAGGGCTGTTGTGGCCAGTGAATGAATCCCAGGCACCACGGAGGTCATAGGTCATGACGTTGAGAAAGTCGAGGTACCTGTTAGCATCATGAAACAAAGACAATTAAACGTCTCCAAATTTGTAATCTTGTCGCGAGAAATGAATTTGAATTATTTCCGTGGTGATATTTTGTGTTCGCTTTATGTTATTTTTTAACATGTTTGTCCATCCCTGGAAGCTCCACACAGTCTACATAGGAAAAATGGAATCACAGGAGGTGTAAATATGGGACCAACCTGTATAAAACTATAGCAGATAAGTTCCTAAAGCTCTCTACAAGTTAAACAATTTTACTGTATTTATTTTTCTGCCTAAGAAACTATCAATTCATGGTAGGGAAAAGGGTCAGTTAAAGGCAATAGCTGCCTCTTTAAATATAAGACCTTTTGTAATGAACAAAGTCTGCCTTGAATATATTCAAATTGTGTGTGTTGCCTGATCAATATATTGAAATAATGATTATAAGTCATTCTTCCTAATGTCAGCTCACTTGTGCACTTGATTAATTTCATAACCGCCATCAATGGTTCCTTTCCCAGCTGCCACGGCAGCTGTGAGCAGCAGCCGTGGCCTTTTGCTCTTGGCTGCTTCCTTTTCAAAGGCAGAAAGTAATTCCTAAGGGCAAGTGGGAAAAATTGTCAGTGCTGGGCTCATGTATTCAAGTCACTCTGAAAGGCTTTGAAGTAAAAAACAAACACAAACACTGTCACACTCATTCCAATAATTTCATAGCAAGAATAGAGGATGTGTGTGCATGACGCAAATACATCCTGTCGTCTGTTACAGGTTCCCTCTCGGCTCACCTTGCAGAGGATCGTGAACTTTCTCTTGTCCCATGATGGGCTTCCTCGTGCTGCGGGATACTCCCAGTCCAGATCCAGTCCGTCAAAGCCATGAAGGCGCAAGAATTTGATGGTGGAAGTGATAAACTTTTGGCGGTTGAAGGGATTTGAACACATGGTGGTAAATCTGCACACATTCAGACAAGGTTTGTCCGTAACATGAGGTAAGATGGTGCAACAGTTTCATAAGTGTGCGCTGGTGGAGTTTAAGGACTCACCGTCTTGTTCCGAAGTTCCACCCACCAACAGCCAACAGCGTCTTCAGCTCAGGGTTCCTGCAAATACGCCATGGGAAAGCAAGTAAAGCTCTGCTTGGATTCTGCATGAATTTTTAGAGCCGTTATAACAACAGACCACAAATGTTAGCGTGTAAAGGTTGTGCATTTACACTTCGTCAAACTTAACATAATTCCATGACTGTTTTGCCAAAGAGAAAAAAGCTACAGGAAACTATTCTCTTTCCCTGTCACTTAGGCCTATAGAATATATAGAGTTAGAGTTGACCAAGCCACGGTGATGGTGATATTCAGCAGGGGGAGCTCACCTTGTTTTGAGTTCATTGAAGGATTTATAGAGAACTTCATCATTCCACTCAAACGATGTCAGCTCATTTGAAGAGCTGATTTGAGAGAAGGCGTAGATCAGGTGTGTGCAGAGGTTTGGGTCTACGTTTTCAGGGAGAAACCTGCCAGCACCTGGCCTATACTGGGACCAGTTGGTGAAGTAGCACACCAGTTTGGTGGAAGACACTTTTGGAGAAGAAACAAGGGATTTACATTAAGCATAAACATTTTTTAATTCATAGATTTTTTTCTTCTACTGTTTAATAGATTGTTATCAAGATGGATATTTAATTAAAAAGTCATACCAATTTGAAGGCACACCAGAAGGGACAATCCTTTAGGTAAAAAAAATCACAGATTAATGAACTATGAAACTTTCATTATTCACCATCTTCAATAAAGTTAACTTACCAGCCAAGATCATTCGAGCCATGTTGTCCTCGTCCTGATAAACAGTAATGTAGAAATGCTGTGAGATTAAGGTAAATTAAGTTTACCTACCTAATAAGTTCTGTACTAGGTATTGATGCTGCAAATAGTGCAACCTTTATCCTTCTAACACAAAGGCAACAGAAAGCTCTGTTGGCAATTTACCTTTTCCCAGGTGAGCTGCGGACTGTCCCATCGATCCACTGAGGAGTCTCTTATATAGGAGATAAGATGGGGACAAAGGCTGCATGCCAGAGACTTGCAGTGGATGCTTCACAAGAGGTTTATTGTATGTAATGTATGTATTTGGTCACAGTGGGTTTTCATGGTGACAGTGATAACACTTGACAAGACAATCTAAAACGTTCTTTGGTTTTGTAATATCGCGCAAAACCAAGCCCATCCCAGCAGCTCCAGTTGCCCTTACATGCATGTTTTTATACTTTTGGAGAAAGTTGGAGTACCTGGAGAAAACCCACACATACATGGGGAGAACATGCTAATTCCACAGAAAGGCTCCATGCCAGTCCTGGGGATATGAACCCCCTTCTCTGAGGAGAAGAGAATAAGTAACCTGGATAAAGTGAAACGTAACAGAAAAAAATAATGTTAGAGTCAAGAATCTTAAGCTCAATAAAATTCTTAAGTTGCTTGATCATTGGTTAAACGTGCCGAAAAAACTAACATTTCAGAAGATCCGTAAAATTATATAATATAGTGCAGAATTAGTTCTGGACTCATTCTTGACCACTTCAGCACTAATAACTAACCCAGAAATAATTGAAAAAATTATTGGCTAATCTCTGCTTTGTCATACTAGTACTTAGAGTGGTGAGATGATAAAACCAGCATGCAGTTTGACTATAAGTTCAAGAAAGTCACAGATGACAGTCATTTAGATACGGATACAAAACTCTATATCTATGTCTAAGATAAGATGTCCTTTTCCTCTTTGCTGTTTGATCCCTATGGAGGTTACGCATCAAACTGTCCAGGGTTCAGTAAAATTTCCTGGTAAATGGTAAAATCTTTTTGAAAACTATTCTGTTCCTGTGAGGTTGCCTTTTCTTTTTGTTGTTGTTTTTCTGCATATTCTGTTGCACCACCATCAGAAAGGCGTGTATACTGCGTGTCTTGTGCAAAACAGGGAGATTTTTTACTTCACGGCTTTCATATTTTTCTTTCTATCTTTTCTTAAGCCTCATTACGTTTTCAAACAAGGTCAAGACAAAGTTTATTTGATCAAACTCATTACTTTCACAATTTAAGTGTCCCTAAGTCGACGGGTCAAAATGGTTTAGGCTGCATGAACAGTGAGCCTGCACAGTTTTAGCGTGATGGACTGGATCTGACCTGAATTTTCATTCAGAATGATATAAAACAATGATGATATAAATACTAACACTTTATTCAAATTAAGACGCATTTGTCTTAATACAGATCTGGTGTTAGGTGTCGAGCAAACACTGTTAAATAACGTGCAATGATCCAAAATGTGAGTGCAAAACGGAGACCGGTTCATAAAATAAAATAAGATTTTACAGCTTATTTGAAATGGGTTTGCTGATTCCCTTAAATGATTTGGATTATTATTTCTTCAGAAAAACAACACTATGCTAAATTTCTTGAAACTTGATGGTGAACTTATATACAATCCATTGAATTTTTCAGGCATGGATAATATTTTTTACAGTTCAGAAGGTGGTCAAAATGAAGCACCATCTGTACGATTATTGGAATTAGAAGGGAAAAAAAGCTTGTAAGTAGGTCTGGCAACTGCTCTTATCAACATGATAAACGGATCTTCTTCAATGTCTGTCTATTGTCAGAATAATTTTATATTATGCAAATGTGAAGATATAATCCATAGACATAGGATGTACAAAACACAAGACACTTCTTTTGCTGGATAAGCTTTTCAGATGATCCAACTTTAGTGTTTTCCGCTCTATATGCACGAATGCTGAGTAGTCCTCAAGGATACGGAGGGCTATCATAGCAGCTGTTTCTTCAACAGTCTTCATCCCAACCTGAAACAAGTCAAGGAGCTTTTGGTTTCTCCAGGTTCATAATTCACTGTGGAGAGTGCAAGCATGGCGAAGTATCGAGTCAGAGAGTTGAGATAAGGAAAAGGAAAGGGATTTGAATTTTGAACTTTAAGCCAGGGAATAAATGGTATTCATCGGAGAGTGAAGCTCAAGACTTCCACCAAAGTCTATTTCCCTGACATCTCTCCTGGTCCCTGTGTACTGGCCAATGAATGAGCCATCCTCATTGAAGGGGATCTCCCCTCCTTCTCCATATTCCACCAGACTGTCATCACTGTCTAATCGCTTCATCATTGCTTCCACGGATGGCTGGGCCCTTTGAAGGCCCCTCTCCTCCTCTCTAAAAAAAACAAAAAAGCAATGTTAGTAGCATATTCAATCCTTTCTGAAAATCTGAAAATTATGATTCCACGTGTTTGTTTTAAAAATGTACATACCTCCGAGGATAGGGCAGGGTAGCAACCCGTGCTATCCTAAAGAAAAAAGAAAAAGTCTGAGCTCAATGTGTGAGAGGATGGATCATATGATTTTTTAATATAAAAATCTGTAGCATGTGTACAGCTGAAATGTCAATTCAGTCAATATGTCAATGTTTAGCCTTTTCATACCTTTCAAGGGACCTTCAGTGGTTCAGTGCAAAAAGAACAAGGGTGAGGATTTGGAAGAGAAGGGTTTAAAAAAGAGGGTAGAGTGAAAACTGAAATGAATTCAAGTTTGATCACAGGGTTATCAAAAATAAGGTAAAAAATCTGATTTGATCTGTACCTGTGCAGCATTGTTCGAAAGGACATTATACAGACAAGGCACCCTTCAGAATTATCAACCAACAATGCTGTTGTGAATTATTCATATGTTGGTAATGTACAGTATGCTCTGTATATATAATTGAGCATGTAGAACTGAATGATTTTCCCATTGTCTGACTTATGCTGGGGATCCCAAAATCAACAATATGAATGATTATGAAAAAAAAGACGCTGGATTTACAGCTCCAGGATGTAGCTTTAATTTACCAAAGCAAATGATGGTGCACAAGAACAGAGCAAATGATGTGAACATATGGCGACCGTTATTAGAGTATAGTCAACATGCACAGTGTGGTTCAGTGTTACAGAAAACATGAGGTCTTCTCTGTTGTTTAGAACTAGCTTGGCAGTTAAAATCGGAAACCTTTACAACTAAAAGGTTTTCTTAAGGAACAATGATTGACTATAAAGTAGTACTATATATATTTTTGTGTTTTTGAAATTAATGATCCTATTTGCAAATTTTTTTGCAGCTGTTAGTTGTAGTGCTTACCGATAATCAAATGACCCCTCCTGATCTTTTTCATCCACCGGCTCCAGTGAAATGTCCTTTTTCTCCCGTACTACAATTAAAACATCAATGTAATATACTTTTTTTTGCCTGATTGTTTGGAGTTATCTTACTGATCAACTGAAATATCATTTGGGACAGAATCTCACATATACTTGCTTATTTTTTTAAATCTGCAGTACAAAATCTAAAATCTTCAACTTGTCTTAAACCACTGATGTGTTATCAGATGGTAGTCAGGAATCGTCTTTGTACCTGGGTATTTGCCTCCCCGGCTCCTCTTGATGAAGCAGACTATGAGAAGGATGAGCACGATGAGAGCCACAGCACACATTATCCCAATGAACCAACCCTGAGTGGTGATGTCCACCTGGTCTTGAGCATACGCTGAGAGACACAATTACACAACATCAGAGTCATCATCTACTCATCAACAATTGATACATTGAGGGTGTTGTAAATTACTTTCTGTGGTGTAATGGGGTGACTCCTCTGTATGCCATTCCCCTAGTCCGAGCCGAGTTCGTGCTGCCACAGAGAATCTGTAGCGTGTGTAGCGGTCATATCGGCGGATTGAGAAGCTTGTTACGTTTGGTGGGAACTCCTCAACTCTCATCTCCTCTCCCCTGGTGGCATTCACTGCGGGGAGAGTAGAAATTTCAGCGCACTTGAACTCTTTATCCTGGTAGAGGGAGCTTTTGAGTACTTCACCTACTCAGAGCATGGCTAAACAAGTGTTTATTACCCTCTTGAGAAGATACTTTAAGGGAATTTCTGGTCTTAGAGTGCATATTCAAGAGTATCATTATGTCTGCGCTTGGATGATGGATTGCAGACATCTCTGTGATTATAATTTCCTTTGTTGGGAGTGTATTTCATAGTGTGCAGAAATACCTGTCTGGTACTTAAGTGAGTACCCTGTGAGGATACCGTTGGGCTCTGCTGGCACGTCCCAGTCGACATAAATACTGTCCAGATGTCGCTGTTGGATCCTGAAGGATTTGGGAGCAGATGGTACTAAGGACAAAAACAGAGGAAATCAAATATGCAGGTCTAATGCAAAAATATACTCTACATAACTCTACATAATGTCAGATTATTGTTTCTTTGGTAAACGAATTACTGTTCTCACCTCCTTCAGGTGTTGAGAAGTGTATATTATTGCTGGGTGGCCCTTCATATCGATTATTTGCCACAAGGATATACATCTTGTAGTTGCTGTACGGGATGAGCCCACTGAGGACACCGGACGGTTCTGGATCATCGTTTGGAAATGCTTTCGACTTCATGCCTCTGTTGACCCACAGCCACCTCAGCTGGCTGCTGTCCCTCCAATAGTAGGCCTAAAAGTTGACCAGCGGAACCCTTTTAAGATCTGCCCATCTATCAGTGAGCACTGGAATGGTGTAAGCACCTAAATACACTCTGCATTGGGATATTGTGAATCACCTAAAGATCTTAAGCTTTAAATCAATCTTTGAAATTAATTTAGACAATAATCAGATGGATAGATAAACACTTGAAGCAAACTTCCTCAGAGTTTGTTGAAGGTCTGCACAATGGCATATAAAAACGACAATATACAAATGTTTTTTTATAATACAATAATGGCTTAAGACATAATATATACGTAAAATGTTTTTTTAAAACAAATAATGGAATATTATGTAAATACATTTAAACATTAAACCCACCCAATCCATTCATAAATATATACATTATAGAAATACACACAAAATACGTATGTATTTATATATATACATTAATAGTTGGTAGTTCAGTTAGTTAGTGATGTGTTACTTTTGTGTTTCTTCAAGGTGATTTATTTATATTTAATTCATTTTTTGGTTTTGCATGTTCCAGAAATGTCCTGCACTGATAGATTGTTCAATTAAAACAAGGTAGGCAAAGTGTTGAATTCCTAAGGGAACTGAGTTGTTTAGGTGTCTGACTGATCCAAACTTGTGAAATGGACGGTAAAGCTTTGTATCAGTTTCACGAATTTTCGCATATTTTTGCCTTTATTTTTTATTTTCCAGGAAAATTTCATTGAACCGCTGCTTGCTATAGTTAGTCATTATCATCAGTAGACACTCCTAATGCAGAGCTGTTGCTTTTTGTTTTCTACCTTAACAACCTTGTGTTAGAGCCCCAAAAGACACACCTTATATTCTTTGAGTTCTCCCATGATAGATTCTCGTGCCACCGGGTCCCAGTGGACAGTAACCTGTGTGCTTTCAATGTCGGACACTCTTAGGTTCAGGGGCGCAATTATCGGACCTGTAAAAAAAGAGAAAGCACAGTACCTTTTCTTTATTACCAGGGAAAATAAACTAAAATTACAAAAACACGCTCTACGAAAATGAATGAAACATCACTGTACATGATTATATATGTTTCATTCACACCTTCTTTGAAATTATAATGACATTCAGTCAGATGATAAGCACACAATGTTTGAACTGTGTAGGAACAAAAATCTAAAAGGAAAATATGGAGTCAATGATAGGAAAAAATCTTTAAACATGTCTCAGATGTTTTAGAGGAGATCATGTTGCATCATATTTGTGGGATGCAACTGGCCAGTTTAAGTGATTTATTCATTTATTTTGTTTTTGTTTCTCCTCATTCACCAGAATATTAGGATGCAACAAGCTGAGCTACTTACGGTCTTCACCAGAATAACCAGTAACAACTGGGGACTCTGGTCCCAGCCCGAAGTCGTTGACAGCCTGGACTTTGATGTCATAGGGCGTGAAGGTATCTGCGTCGTAGATGTAGTACTTCAGCCACTTTGTGGTTGCGTTCTTCCACTCCTCTCTGGAATTTCTCCTTCTCCACCACACCAGATACTTCAGGTGCGGTCCGTTCCACTCCCTATAGGTCAGAGGCTGAGAGCCCAGCAATCAGGTGCAGTAACACGTGTTGTGATGGATTTGTAAAGTCACTGATCGCTCAAATTCTGAAGATAAATAGTTTTACAGCTTTGTGTGGGTCGTACTTACTTCCCAGCTGATTTCCATGTTATTTCTCCATGTACCTACTCCTTTCACATTCTTTGGGATGACATCTGGGGCTGTGCAGAGGTATCAGAAGAATGGTGTGAGATATAAAGGAGCTATTCCATATTTTACTCGTCATCACAGAAAAATATGGTGTTCTTCCATTATCTTGGTTATTGCTGTTATAAAGGTCACCCAGTATTTTGCATTGTACATAACACAATGCACTGCAGAGGTTTCCATTAACCCAGACAACAGTCACTGAAAAGTCCAACAACTCAACAATGATTTGGATTATACCACATTATATGTTAAGGAAATAATTGTACTGGACATTTTTGCCTTGCAGTTGTGCAAATATTTTTCCAGAAAATAACAACTTCTGTCCAAAAACATGCCTCAGTGATAGCAGAGCTACCAATTGAGCCAATTGAGGTGGTATTCAATTTAATTGTGTGCACGCCATCTTTTAAACCAAATTCCCGCAAAAATAATGCAGTTTTAAGGTTGTTAGTGTATTTGTATGAGTATAGAAAGTAGCTGACAAATTGACTGTCTTTAAACTGGTAACCTGAAGCTAATGTCATCCTTCATATCCACACATATACTGTCAACATGTACTCCACTGCCCCACCTTCGTACATATGGATATGCATATATTTGGTAATGGCATGAACTGTGTAAAATGTGATTGCTCCACTTAACACGTGTGTTTAAACAGTACACAAATTACAAACAACCAAACCATCCAAATAGAACTTGTTTGCTATGGGGGAATTTTCTCCATGTCTTCTACTAAGGCAGGCTTACTATATTGTATCTTCCAATTTTCATCATTCTGAAGGTTGTTCAATGAAAAAAAACCATTGCCTGCTGGATGTGTTTTCTTATCTTATTCTCTTCAACAAATAAATCAGTGGATAGTTATCAAGGCATATTTTGTCTCTTTACATTCATTCAGCTTATCTGAGGAAGAAAAAAATCCCAATTATTAGCTTCCAACTTACGTGCACCGCTGGTCTGAAAGCGGGTTGATGGACGACTTGGACGACTTGGTCCAATTTCATTTATTGCGATGACCCTGAATTCATAGTAGGTGAAAGGCGTGAGGTGCAAAATGACCGAGTTGAGGTTCCCTGGATACGCTGAGAGATTTCTCCATTTTCCAGGCAGCCAGTCGTCATCATCGTACTGCACTAGATACTCTGTCAGGGTGCAGAAAAGTCCAGTCACAAAAATAACTATGAAACTAAATTCACATCTTTGAATTTAGTGTATCGGGGCTTTTTTTTTTTTTTTTTTGTACCCGTTATGGGACTGTGGTTACTGTCTCCAGGAACCCAACTGAGTCGCACGCTACGCTCATATGGATCTGAAAGCTCCAAGTCAGTGGGGGGATTCGGACGGTCTATAAACAAAAAACAAAGGCTCAAAATTTGAGCAATCCAAACTTTTAGCATTTTTTACTGCAGATTAAATGTATTTTGCTTTTGAAATGGACCATACCCATCACTGTTAGGTGTGCAGAGGCAGACTTCTGGTCCAGCTCACTCTTGATGATGCATGTATAATTGCCCTCGTCACCTCTGTTTATGTTAGTAATTACTAGATTCGACTCATCCAGAGACATTCTGACAAGAAAAAGTAAAAAAAAAGAGCTCAGTTAACTTCATGGAAACAATCAAGCAATTTTCAGCTATTCAGTAAATTTACAACGTTTCCGACCTCCAGCCAAGGCTGATTTGATTTTTGTTTTTCATCCATGTTGTTGTGACCGGAGTGGTGACATCAGCTTTTACTCCACACTCCAGTCGTACATCGCTACCACGTATGACTTTCATACTTTGCGGCCTTGTGACAATTATAATTGGCTCTGAGAAGAACGGGTGGAAACAAGAATTCAGGAAAACAAGTGTTTTTTGCTGACTGAATGATTTTCAATATACAGTATGTAACTGTGATACTGACCTTTGACCTCTACACGGACTTGATCCTCATCTCTTCCGGCGATGTTGCTGATCACACACAGGTAAGTTCCCTGGTCCTCCATTTGTATGCGTTTGATCTCCAAGGTCCCGTTGCTGTGGGTCTTGAAACGGCCCCCTTCCAGAGTCCCTTGTCCATATTTGGACCTGTGTTAAAAAGCACATGAGATGACACACATATGCACATAGAGCTGTTTTCTAAATGAGTCTCATTCTATGATCTTACCATCTCAATTCCGGCACAGGAGAACCAAAGTAGCGGCAGTCTAAAAAGGCACGATGCCCCTCTATCACCTTCAAAAGTTCATTCCTGGGCCCGATAATGCGTGGAGTTGCATCTACAAGAATGAGAATTCATCAGTAAGTGTTACATTTCATTATGCCTTTGATGTCCTCTCTGTTGAACTGAATGAGACTATGTAGTTGAGGAAGAACTGCAGATTATTGTATCTCTTATTTGAAGTATTCAATCCAAAACATAAAGTATCATCATATTAAAACACGGATTAGCTTTTGCTTTACTCTTAAATCCTAAAGTCATATTCCTCGTTTTACTTTGTTAGAGCTAACCAATGTCAATGAAGCTGATCTATATTTCATTCGCATCCATCCATAATTTGTATCTCGCTCTGACATGCATCAGCACTAAAGCTAACATGCATGTATTTTGCTTTTACGGTAATCCAGAGCACCCACAGAGCATTCAGACGGAAGGAAAACAGCCATGGATGAACATGCAGCACAATCTAGTACTGCTCATAAAATGTACACTTTAAATGAAGCTCTTCAGTTAAATCCAATTTTGATTGAAAAACTGTAGTGTAGTCAAGTGTGGGCATTCAGAAATAAGACAAGGTGTAAGAAAAAATGTATCTATCTCATCCAGGTTTCAGTTACAGCTTTAGCCAATGGCTCCCTCAAGTGTGTGTTGCAAACATTGGTGCAAAATAGTGAATTTAAATGCATGCTGTAGATCCTGTGGAGAGAACTGGTATTTCACTTCTGACAAAAATTTGTATGTATATTTATATATATATTTATATATACACATATGAATATATTTATATAATGATCAATTGATTAGCCTTGACCATAATCTTTTCCAAACGATGCAGTCTGTGAATGACAAAATGGTAACTTACGCAGAACATTGACAAATGCGTTGGCCAGTAGGTACCCATACTGATTGGAGGCATTGCACTGATAGACAGCATTGTTGGCAGCCGTCACACTGCGGAGGGTTATTGTTTCTCCAGATACCTGTCTGTTTTCCTGCGGCGTAGCGTCTGAAAATATCACATGTTAAATAAAACAGGGAGCTGGGGCCGAATTCTACTTTTTTTGCCGCTCAGAAGCAAGGTCTTGAAAAACCTACTCTCAATTGGTTCCCCGTTGATGAACCAGCTGATAGTGGGACGTGGGGCTCCATCAGAGCGACACACCAACCGGCCGTTTTCCTCAGGGGCCAAAATCAAATCTCTGGGCTTTTCCAGCCAGAAAGGAGCCGCTGTCAACCAAAAATATGATAGCTGTTTGAAAATGATTTTACAGTGTGAGGAAATAAAACACTGAACTGCTTGCCTCTGAAATATCTCACCCACCTTTGACCCTGACGGTTATTGTGTGCTCGATGTAGCCTATCCTGTTGTTAGCAGTGCAGACGTATTCTCCGGCATCTTCAAAAGTTGCCTTTGCGATTTGAATCATCTTGTTGAAGTTCTTTACTTTCACACGTGATGTGCCTTCAAGGTAATCGCCGTCCTTTGTCCAGGAAACACGAGGAGTTGGCCTTGATGATGACACACAAGACTTGAAAGTCTCACACTGATCAAATAATTAACATGGTACAATCTCAAGTGAACTTTCATGTGAAATGAAGATGCAAAGGTCTGAGTCGCAATTTGACTTTAGTTTTTTTTTACACTCACAGTCCTGCAGCTATACACTCAAGCAGGAGCTCCTCGCCTTGCAGGACCAGTTTGGAGCTGGAGGAGCCTTTGGGAGACAGCCAGGTGGGGGCAGCCTCAGCCACTGCATGAGCTGCAAAGGAAACCAGGGAATCAGAGCACACATTTCAGGCCCATCTTACCGATTTACTCACAAAAAACAAAAAGATTCAATATGAGTCCAACAAACTAGTTGAATGAAAAGTAAAGAAGCAACTCAGAGTCCTTTTCAAGTGTAATTTGAGCAAAAGGGTGGCAAAACCTTTTTTGAAGCATAAAACGGTAAAAGTGTAACAGCTGGTAAAACCACACCAGGTGGTATAATATCAGAGGAAAATGACACAGCAACACATCTGTTGGCTCAGACAATTATAAAACCTGATCAAGATAATTAAAGAACTCACTTGTAAGCACCTTAACAACCACGGGCATTTTCTGCTGGATGGCATTCTTGTAAGGGAAACGAGCATTACAGCAGTAATCAGTGGCAGAGTCATTAAACCACACATTAGAGAAGTACAGGTCTCCATCAATGCCCATCGAAACCCTGCGGTCCTGCCGCACAGGCTGCATGGTGGGGAAGGCCGTCTGAATAGGCCAGTTGAAAGGTCTCGCATAGGAGCCTGAAAAAAGATAGATAAACAGAACCATGATCTGAAATCCATTCCGGGGCTGAAACCCCAGATTTCAGTGAGAAACAAATGATGTATATTGGACACCTACAGCTGGACATCCAGTAGGTTTCAGGTTTAGGTGGGCCTGGCGGAGGGTCACAGGACAGAACCAGGGCCATTCCAGCACTGACCACCACGGGCTCCAGAATCTCTCGGGGCCACACTGGAGCTCCTAAACAAAGGTGGAAAATCACATTTCCCGAGAGCAGCAAAGTCATGTTTTTTCTTTCTCACAGAAGTTTTTTTCTAAGAAAACAAAACACAACGGTTGAAAAAGTCAATGTGAAAATTAATAAAATTATAATAAAAAAACATCAACTATCTTTTGCCAGAAGGCAGAAACATTAAAGATCACTCATGAACATGTATGAGCTTCAAATCTTCAGTAAAATACAGCTTCCAACAAACAAACAGTTGGAAACAAGTGTTTCAGTCCTTGGTTTACTTATAGGAGGTTAAACACAAATATGTCAAAGATGTTTAGTTCACATTGAACATCTCACAGCCACACTCCATCCTCTGCATCAGCTTTCACCTGCCGAACATTTCATTTTTCAGTTGTCCTGGTCTCATCCTTACTGTATAGTTGTAGTCTGATCTTGTGGGTATACGCAGATCCATACTCATTGGAGGCAATGCACTGATACTCAGCTTCGTACTGTTCTGGATTGTTCCGTGCATAGATATCTAGTGTCCCTGAGCGCCTGCGCATGGAGACCTGGGAGTCACGTGCCACATTGAAATACTTCCCATTACGCCTCCAGGAGAAACTTCACAATTGAGAAAAAAGAAAAATGGTGAACTGAGCAGTAATTAGGATGTTACTTTCAGTAAAATTGCTTTACAGGTGCAGGTCTTACATAGGTTGAGGGTTGCCTTTGGCTTCACACTCTATGACCATTGTTTCTTTGGGGTCCACAATGTGGTCCATCATTGACTGCTTCGTGATAGTTGGGGGTTGTCTGACTGCAGGCAGAGACAACAGAGCTCAGAATTCATCTGAAAACATTAACGGCCTGAAAACAGATACATCTGATGTTACAGTCTCACCTTCCAAAGGAATGTCCAAAGCCCAGAAACTCTGCCACAGAAATATCAGCAGCCCAGGTCCACCCAGTGTCCTCATCTTTACCACTCATTTAGTCCAGTAAATATAATGGCCCCTGATTGTACTTTGATCAGGCTAAATGAAGAAAACAGACAAAAACTTTTATTTTACTTACCAAAGTAATATTTAGGAAAATCCTTTAAATTCTTTCAATGAAAATTGTAAGACAGAAATAATAGTTTTTCAATGTGACTTTGCCCCTGTGTCCATTTGTCAGTGATTGTTTTAATTTTGCTGAGGCAATTTAACTGTATTTTGCTAATTAGTTCTTCTCAAATCACTGTATTTTTATATTAAGTTAAATAAAAGAGGTGTTAGTTCGTGAAACAACATTAAGAGGTCTTAAACAAAAAAGTGAGACATGTTAAGGTATCTTATCAAACTGACCTTACATTGTGAAAATTAGTTCACCTCATAAATAGCCTGGGCACAGTTGATTAGACATTTTTACCAATGCAGAAGTTTGTTTGTAATTGATTTAGAAATAAATATGACAAGAATTACACAGTGATTTACTTTAATGACAGCATAAAGTTCTTAGCACCTACCTTTCTAAAGTCACTTTCTCCTCCCTGTTTCTGTTCTCCGCTTTGCATCAATAATCCAATTACTTGTGCCCGGAAATTATTCCTGTTTGTGCTGTACAGCAATAAATGCCTCAGTCCTTCAAATATCAGGTCAAGAACTCTAGACGAGTTTATACACATCAGTAATTGAGCTTCTGTCTGTCACTGCCACTTACACTCTGCCCACCCATCCTATGAATAATGAATGAGTACCATACAACACCTACACATCACCCTCTTCACTGTTCTGGCTCTGATTATTCTGAACATATCCAGCTACACTAAAGTTACAAAAAATAAGTGTTGGGACATATTAAAACCACAAAATTACAGTATTATTGGTATTGGTATTATTTGGTAAATTTCCCCTTTTGGTGTATTTTTTTCACAACTTAAAATGTGTTTGCTTTGACCTGGATCAGAATGAGCAGAATGAAAACAAGGCAACTTCCATCCTGTGCTGTTTGCATTCTTGATGGTTTTGATGACATAAAAATGTGGGCTGGGAAAGATCTGGGTGGCAGACTATGAAAGCAATGTTTGTTTGTCATATGAATTTTACATGCTGCAATCCTCAATCACATGACATCTCAACAAACGCTGGAAACTTCCCAATAGCCACCATATTTTGATTTCCCTCAAATTCAGAGAAAAACGATGAAACTGACTTTCCAATACAGTTATTTTACATGCGTGGGGAAGGAGAAAAAGGAGTTCATAACCATTCAATTGAGAAATTCATCCAGGAAGAAGAGGGAGTTTTCTTTTCTATGAACTATGCCAAAGATGCAGAAGAAACTGTGCCCGTATTATACAAAAGCCACCTCACAGCTTGCCGACAGACTCCTGACCTGTGTAGGCTTTAAGGCATTCACATGGCGCTCAATATACAGTGCAGCACTCTCTGGGCAAAACAATAGCAAGGGAGTGAGAAGTGTAAAATGAATTTGCATTGTGAGTCTAAAAAATAAAAAAGTGGATCTTTTTCTCGTCATTCATAAAGGGCTATAGGTAGCTATGTTTGCAGCTGGTGCTCTTTGAGGTTTGGCCTTGCTCCCTTTCACAGTGTCCACATCTGAAACACAACTTGATTTCCCTCACATCGCCCCACAGAAGTAGAGGGATTATCTATTGGCTTCTCAGCCATGCAAATGTTTTTTTTTTCTTCCTTTACATCAGACCGTGGCAGGCCTGAAGGTTTGCAGTGATCAGTACCATGCACAACGTTGCACAGTGAAGAGGCACAGAGGTGGATTCAGCCAGCTCGGTGACGACAAAAAGATCTCTGTGATTGTGGGTCTCCTCTGGCACGAGTGCCCGTGGCTCTGCTAAGAGCAGATGGCATGTGAGAGGGAGTGTTCGACCAAACAAGCTCCCCGTTCAGACTCTGAGCACCTATCATTTGCACTTTGACGTCACTTCATCGGGGGGGGCACGAGAAGAGGATGCAGAGAAACGTCTGTTCAACAGGACACTCATCTTGATTACATCACCACCACGATATTGTCTCTCAACATTGAGAGACTCGAGGTTATGTCTTATTGGTCATGGCTTATCTGTAAATGACTCTATATTTGGCCCACCAACTAACCCTAACCCAACTGGGGATAGCTCTGTGAAGGAGTTTCAGATTTTCTATGTACGACACTCCCAATCAGCTGAGCTGATCAATGGTCTGAAGACAAACAGTCTTGAGGGTCACATATGTCTCCAGTGTTACTTTACAGTCAACACTATTCCAACAAGTGGAGAGCTACCCATAACTTCATGGTCAACTGTTTGGTAATACTGGGTAATTACAAAGTTTCTGATCACAAAAGTGCCCTAAAAAGCGAATAAAATTTGTTACTATTTACCTGAAGATACAGGGTTCCACGCCTTAATAAGACTGAATAAGGAGCTCAGGTACAGAAACATTTGAAGTGTTTTTTTCATTATCTGCTTTTCTGTAAGTCATTGTGCATATGTGTGGTTCTAATATTAGAACCACTGTGATGCAAAGTTAATTTTTGATTTACAATAATCAAATAAATGTGGATAATCCTTATGTGTGAGTGTCGGAACTAACCATCCTCTCACTTAATTTATCAGGATTAACTAATGGTCATTACCTGTCTCAGAATATTCAAATAAGATTTTTAGCTAGCTGGTGTAATATGTTCTGTCTAACATGTCTTCCATCATCATTTTGTAAAAATCCTAGCACTTTCTCCCCAGCACATAAAGAATTATGATATCCTCCAAGGAAAAGTGAAGGGACAAAATGTCAGAAAAAAAGAGTTATTACAATACATTCTGTAAGGAAAATAACTGTGTGTGTGTGTGTGTGTGTGGTCCATTTCATGATTTATACATACTAATGAAATACTCAAGGTATAGTAATTCCTCAAAATTAATTGTAAATATGTGTGCAAATATGCATCTTTGGCCATCTGCTTATTGGTATTGTTGAAAACTGATAAAACAAGGAAAGACATTTAAATGTTTGCCATTCTTTCAAAATCCAGTCTTGATATATATTCAAATTTATACTATATTTCTGAAAATATAACTGAATGATGAAAGATGCAATAAATGCTAAGCAAAGGAGTCTAATATTTCCAGAATCAGTGTAATATTTTTGATTGCATGTCTATAGATAGATAGATAGATAGATAGATAGATAGATAGATAGATAGATA